TTTACTATCATTAGAATTAGAAAAACCTGCTTTACAATTTTGCTTAAAGGTTTAAAGACAGTTAAGTTAGTAAAAAATTTTTTTATATTATATGAAAAAAATTTGCAGTTAAAATCATATAATAAATGTACTCTACCTTTAAGTCTTGGCGTTGATGCTTGCTTTTCTCTTGTTCAGATTCTTTCTCAACTGGATTTTTACCATGTGGCATGAGCTTATGAAGCTCTGGCCAATGCAAGTCAGCTGCACTAAAAGTGAAAAATATCATTTCGTTCGATTCCATTTGTTTGATTATATTTAATAGTTCAAAACATCATTTATTCCAGAACTGTTGTGTTCAACGCAATCCTTCACCAAAATGTATAACACGATCTGCTATATGAATATCACTTCTGACCATTTCTTGAACTTCTTAGACAGTAAGTTGCATACTATTTAAGCTTTGTTTAACATAAGCCTTCCCCTTCTGCAATGCTCTCCATCTCATTTGGGAATTTAGTATGAAATATCGCCATCAGGTGTGACGAGCAAATCTCCCATCCTTATATTTAAGCAAATGCTGAAAATATTCTGCAAGCTTGACTTCTCTAACATGTTCTGCACGTAGGTTTGCATTGCCTGTTGGATATAAGGACAGAAAAGTACAAGCAATATAATCCGGGGTGTTAAATTCATTAATAGGATGACTGTCTATATTAGGCCACATTATTGCAGGATTATTTTCATCTTGCATTCGAGCAAGAGTAGCAGAAATAGCACGATCTTCATTATGAGATGAGACAAGAGTAGATACAAAGTTATATGTGATAGTTTCTTTATTATCACTATCATGATCATTATCCAAGTAATCTTCTTCATTTACATCATTTTCCTGTAGTTGTGAACTTGATTATCAATAGGGCCATCATCAGGTAAGGATTGCAGCACCTCATAGTCAATGTCGATATTAGTATAGTAACGATTATTTCTTTTAACCATTGAAGCGCATGTTCAACCTTAGTTCTGCGAACATTAAAATCCCTAAATAAAGATCTTTTTGAGGATTAACGATGCACAATAAGGATGTCTAATGAAGAAGGGTGTTGGGGAAGTCTTGTAGCAAACTCTTTTATGTTCTAAGCAAACTCTTTTATATCCTGAGGAAAGTTTATTACATTTCCACGATAGGCGTATTGGCCATCACGAAGATAATAAACTGAAATGACTGGAAAAATTTGTGCTATTAACATCTCCTCAATATCAGTAAGGCCTTTTAATTCTTCAGATACATCACCTGGATCCATATTATTTTCTAAAGAAAACTTTTTTAACTCATTCTTGTCATTGTAGCAGCGATGACATTCTCCATTAACAAGGTTTATCGATGGGAAACGTTCATTGCATACTGGGCACGAATTATGTTTGAGCTTATTCATTTCAGCTCGAAATTTTTGTAAAAGCTTATGGTCAGTCTCTGACAAATATGGAACATTTAAGATAGTATCTAAAAGTGGGTTTGACTCAATGATAACAGAAATCATTTCAGATTCAGTGTTGTCAGAAATTACTTCAGCAATTTCTTCTTGATGATCCATATGGTTGGTATTAGGTTCTATAATGTGTTTCATTTGTCTTTGCTGCTTTTGCTCACGTTCTCTAACTAAACATGCTTTACGTTGTTCATTAGTTTCTAACTGTCTTTTTCTTTTTTTATTTTAGCGATCACGTTTACGACGCAATTCATGTTGTTCTGGAGTTTCATTCTCCCTTTTTTTGCATTGTCTAAGTGTGTTAGATAATTGGATTTGACTATTAATCATTTTTTTTTTACTTTTATTTTTAGTTTTATTTAGAAAAACAGTAAGCACAGTTGAATTTATATTTAGATTCTTGATGCGTTAAATACAAATTAATATATCTGAAGCGAGGGGCTAAGTAGGACGAAGTTTTGTATGATTTGAAGCAGCATGATGATTCTAATATAAAGATTAAATTGATTAAGAAATATGGTATAAGACTATGACAAAATCTAATACGCAATGGCTTTTTTCGAATTCTCAGGTTATGCGGTTCAAAAAATACAGTTTAATTGGTATTGTACATCATTTTTTCATAGTTTAAATTTTTTATTTGAACAATAATAAAGGATTGAGAGCATAAACACTTCAAAAAATGAGAGAAAAGAGATTCATATAATAATAGCTTGAGTCGAAAGGTTATTGGGGGTAGTAAATATATCTGTATTTAAGTTGGGAAAGTGATAATCTAGTAGTAGTTGGTAAGGCATTGTGCGCTTACCATTTAGATGAAAATAATTGTTTTTTCTTGAATAAATTAAATGGGGCCACGATAAAAAAGTAATAGCCAACAATAATCAAAATATAATAATTGTAGAGTAATAATAAATTTGGAATGTTGATTTAACATACAGCGTGGACTAAAAAAAAAACTCTTTTATAATACATGGCACTATTTTCATAGGCCAAGACTGTAAAGTAACCCGGGTACTAAGGATGAATTAATTGCACCTTGGAATGTAAAATACATGGGTACTAAGGACGAATTAATTGCACCTGGGACTGTAAAATACCTGGGTATGTAATAAAGATGTATTGATTGCACTTAGTATATTACTACAGCACTCATATAATACAATTTATACTCTCTCAACTATAATACAGCTTAAATTGTAAAGTGTTTTAATCCACGCTGTAAGGTAATTATTTGAAAGGAATTAAAATTTTAGCTGAAATTTTATTTATTAATTTTAGGTTGAAGCCTCGCAAGATATTTTTTTCTTAAAAAAAAAATAATAAAAAATTCGATATCATGGCAATTAAGTAAATAAAGTCTAGAGTAAAATATGCAATAACTTCCGGGCACTAGTTTTTAGGCTAAAGAGGTATGGTAGTTCTGATCGCAGGATAATAGGTAGTTTGAAATAAGAGGACGAGTAAAGATTCAAGGTTATTTGAGAGGTCTCAGATCTCTGTTCAAATAAAAAAACTTTCACGCTTTTATTAATAGTAGTCAATCTGAAATGGTTAATGGTAGGTATTTTTAAATTGAGGATATAAGGTAGTCACAATATAGTGAACTTAAAAAAAAGGCGAAGGATATTAAAGTTTGAATAAACAGAAATGCGGTCTACAAAAAGTGTCTCAAGATAGAGAGTTTAGTAATAAAGATAAATATTACAAAGCTTAGCTAAACTGCAATATTAAGGAAGGGAAAGGTAGATAATGAAAAAAGTAATAGGAATGGGTCTGTGTATAAATCTAGTCATGTACTGGTAGGTATTTTTAAATTGAGCATATAAGGTACTTACGATATAGTGAATTAAAAAAAAGGTGAAGGTTATTAAAGTCTGAATAAACAGAAATGCGGTCTAAAAAAAGTGAATCGGAACTGTGTATAAATTTAGTTGCGTATGTAAGTTAGGTTATGCTGAATTTGTATTGAATTGGGACGCAGCATGACAAACGTCTATCACGTGACGTGACAGATTCAAATGTCTAGAAGTATAGTGTCCTCAGCTACACTTCAGACAATTAATAAACTAAATTTTCATGTAGCCAAAGTTTTTAATTTCTAAAGCTTTCTTGAAAAAACATTTTGCTTGTTCAGATGTTTCA